ATATTAGAAAAGAGATAGGAAGTAGACAGTTACAGGTGAAAAGGTTACGATAAAAGTGTGATATGTAAGAGTAACATAAAGTTATTGTATCGGATTAATAAATTCTGCCTATAGAGTATTTAAATAACCATATCATCAATACTTTTAAGTTTAAATGTGATCAGAGGAATAATGAAATTCTAACAAAGTAGGTATGAGCTTTTTTTTTCAATAAAGTTAATTTGTTCAGTGACAAGCATCATCGAAACAATATTGAAATATATATATCTAAAATTTATTTTTACAATGGTAAAGAACTTTGTAATAGATATATCTTTATGTTTGTGTGGAGTTTTAGTATTGATGATATCCTACAAACATTTTATTTTTCTAATGATTGAGATTATTATGAAGCATAAAATAAAATATTATAACAAAGTAATCATCTAGTAAATTAGTATAGATTCTGCATAAAGACCAAATACATATCTTTATATTGAATTATTTTAGTGGGTATGATTATTTTTCTAGTGACAAATAGAAAATTATTCTGAAGATAATTACATATATTGTTTTAAATGAACACAGAAATATAAATATTCATTAGATATATACGAGAGAAACTACCGTATAAGAGTATTATCGTTTTCAAAGACACAACTATAGATATATTCACATAAACAAAAAAACATATTTGAAGGTCTGTGAGTCATAAAGCAATAACGAAAGTATGTATTTGATTTTGATCATCAACAAAATCAAAAAATAGAGATTAATATAAGCCGTCCGTATATTTATTATATGCTTCGAAGTAAAAAAAACTATTGTATCTGTTAAAATACTTGATGCGAGAATAAATATTTATATAAATGAGAATTGTAAAAGATTTAATCACTGTTTAAATAGCATCAACAGATGCATTTTGTTCTTTGATTATTTTAACTTGTGCATGAAGTAGATCTCGAAGTTTAAGTGGAATATCAGAATCTTCAATAGCTGTTTCATATAATTTAATAAGAGCTTCTTCACCAAGATGAACTTCAGAAATAATTGCTGATTTATCACGACCATCAGTAAACCAAGCTTTAACATCGATCCATGTTCGATGAGCAGCTGCAAGAGGTGAACCTGATTTTATACTAAAATATCATATATATACGCATAAATTAGATATAGAAAAAGATATCATATGACATACGGTTCAACACCTAAATCAACTCGAATTGAATTTGATAATAGAGAAATAAGATCAGCTCGACTTGATGCAATCTTATCAAAAAGTAATCTCATAGCTGTATCTTTCGTATCTGCAGCACATTGTCTATATCCATCAAGTGAATCATGTAAACCTGCCAATACAATTTGACATTTGTCTGCTGCTACTCGACACGCAGTTGATGTTTCACAACTAGTTACACTTGTGGCAGTATTTGAAGTCATTTTTTGCAGTTAGTAATGTGTAGAAAAGGTTGCTGAATACGAATGAGTTTGTTTACGCATCGTAAACATGTTTATATACTAGCTTGGGTGTACAAAGATAACGAATCACTATATGAATACGTGTCTACTATAGACAGATGTCGCGTGATAATACCATAACGCTAGCAGCTTGCTCTAATCCTATAGTGCGGAAAGCATACAATGACGATGATGTACATCTAGTTGTACGAAGTAGGCATAGTTCCAACAGATCAAATTAATCAGTCTCAATATTTTAAATATCAAGATCATTTTATTCTTAATATTGAGTAATAATCACATAGTTCATTTAATTTCAACACAAACAAACAAAAACAAATTTATTTTTAATATAAAAAATTGCACTTTGATTTATTTTCTTTTTCTAAATATTTTTGTTTTTAATTAATTAAAAAAAAAAGAAAAGATAAACATTCTATCAGAAGTCAATTATGTTTGACTGATACATATTTGACATAGAATAAATTAAAATTGTAATGTCACTGTTCTTGGTTCTCGAAATATAGTCGGTACAAGATCAGCTAATTGAAAAAATGTTTGATCAAGTAAATTCTATAAAATAATAGAATTTAATCAAAATAGAATTTTCGAAATTTTAAAAATATATACTTTAGGTACAACAAGTTGAATAGTTGAACATCGATTAGTACCCCATGTACCCATTTCCATCATAAAACCTTTCAAACATTTAAGTACCAATTCAGTTCGTTTCATAACCCATGGAATAGTCATTTCCTATTAATTTAAATATATAAAGAAAATTTCATAAGTATAATTTCGATTTACTTCAGTCATATCATGTGTAAGTAATAAAGGTAATGTTAATGTTGTTATATCATGTTTACAACATTCTTTTAATATATTTCGTAAACCAAATAGAGAAGCATGACGTGATGTGATTTCAGATGATGAACGTAAAGCACTATCATTAACTACCAAATGATAAACAATATGTACTTCAGATAAATTTGAATGACGTGAAACATAAAAATCACCGACTGAACATAAATTTTGATCCTAAATGGATTTAATATACATTCAAATATAATAGTCACGCTTTTAACTTACTTCTAAAGAACCATCACTTTGTTTACTTGTTACGGAATTTGAATCAAGACTAGCCGAAGCGTTTGATCGTACTTGATTGGCTTGTTGAAGACAATCTTCAATACTAGATAATTGATGTTCAAATGATGGAAAATGAAAATCAGTTGAACGTTCACATACGGATGCAAATTCTATATATATATATATATTTAGAATAGAATGATATATGAAATAAAATAAAACTAACCTTCTTTAATATCACCAGTTGTTAAACGAGTTCGTTTAGGTACAAGAAGAACAAGACCACAAAGTGAACTTGAATACAGTGACATAAGTGTTTGAAGACGTTGTGGTTCAAATAAAATTTTATTACTATATTAAATAATCCTATAAGTTTTTGAAAAACGACAATCGATTTTATTCATACTCTTTTTTCGTAGTTTTCAAACGACAATAATCAAGCATATCACAGCGAATTAAACGTAGATTATACATAGATTTTAATTGAGCACCTAGAATAAACATATAAATATTCAAGAAAATATCAAAAATAAACTAACCAAGTTGTACTGTATAACTGGTTTCTAAACGACGTTCATGCGATACTGCATCAGGTACAGCAATAATCACAGATAATGGTGATGATAGAGGTATACTATGACGTGTATTTCTAAAAATAAATTCAATCATAAAAATAAAATTTTCTTTTTTAATCTAACATTTTATTGCCATTCGATGTTTGTAAACTATTTGATACTAAACTTTCTTCATAAAGTCGCATAACACGTTCTTTAAATTGTTGTTTTTGATGATCTTTAGCTGATGTTATACTACTATTCCATCTTCCTTCCACTGACTAAATAGAAATTTCAATCGTATGACAAATGTAAATTAACAGACTAATAAACAAAGTATTTATGATTATTATAGAGCTCTAATCTTACGTGCCCTCGTTTCCTCTATACACTAGAGACTTGCACGGAGTCAAGTAAACTTCATGTCAATAATTCAACTTGAACGTTAAAAATTATTTAAGTTCATAGTTTTGTTGTCAGACATTTTCTCTACAAAATTATGTATTTTGAAGGATAGATCGATGCTTTGTTGAACCTCACCAACCTAGGGGGAAACAACAGACTTCAAGACTTCAAAAGACTTTGAAAACTTCAATAGACTTTATAGACTTCATGAGACTTCATTAGACTTCACGGTGAAGTCTCTGTTGTCTCCCCCTCGTCACCAACACAAAAGAAAAGTCGGAGTCATTTTCGACTCCAAAAATGACTCCGTGCAGGTCCCTACTATACAACGATGTTCTTTAATGTACCTGTTTATCTTCCATATGTTTTTGTGCAAGATTTCGAACAAAAACATCGGGATATTTATTTGTTGGTTCATTAATTATTTCGTGCATTTCTCGATGATGTCTAAATATGAACAATAATTTTAATTTTGTCAATTAAAAATTTTGTTCAAACTTTGCATCAAGTTCTTGTAATTGT